TTTTATATGAAATCGAAAATTCCACAATATGACATTGGACTTAAATTCCCGTTAGCCTTTTCAGCACCGTGGACAGCGACACTCGACACGCTGTCAGCTCTTTGATTGGAGACTCTAATGTTTGTTGCAACATGATACCAATGGTACGGGTAACATTGAAGATCCACTTTTGACATGTTTGTTATGTCTCTATAACAAAGCCCCGGACTGGAAGGTCCTTAACTTGTGCATCAAGTCCCAAAATAATCCCTTTCTCCTGGGGATATCATTATTGAATGCATCCGCTGAGAATATGCCAGATGTGGAGTCAAAACACCAGCACAGATGTCTTGCCATATTTTGGTTGTCAGATGAAGGCTTTTCAGTGTAAAATCACTAGTTTTGGGGCCCAATTTTCCTCCGGAGGCCACGGTTCTTTTCAATGAGTATTTCCATACAAAGTTGAGAAAAAACTGCCGTGTCGAGGCTTTGTGGAACCGTATCAAAACAGTGGGGAATCAGGCGATTTACACAAAACACAAGGCATCAGGGGTGCTTTTAATTTAATGAGGTCTATGCAAACTGATCTTGTCCCAGCTGAACCGGAATAAAGCCGGTATGTGACGGTATGGCTTTGTGAAGTGAACACATTCATTCATTGACCCCAAATGTTCGCCGCTGGCTCGTAACTGGCCGGCGAGTTAGCTTGTTAGCTCGTTAGCTTGTTGTGGCTGCTGGTGTTGCCACCAGAGGCTCGACACACTTTGCAATAAATCGGTTTCTGATCTAATGGAACTTTCGTCGGATTTTCCAAATCCAAAAACCCTCCAGACGGACGCAGCTCTTCTCTTGGGCACAAGTTGTGTTGGTGCATCTCTGGTCTCACGTTGTTCCTCCGGTATCGTTCTTTTCCATGTTTTCATGAAGCAACATGTTGCTGTACTCAGCATGCAGTTTGGTGGGGTCATTTTTATAAATGTACAATTATTAGTGTTACAAATTGTTTATGTGTCACAAGCTGTTGTGTGGTTGTGTTTTACTCTGTTAAAAGAGTGTTTGTTGTGGGTTATTCATTGTCGTTATGAAGTTATAACCGTGACTCAATCTCTTAACACACATAAGACAAGTAGCTCCGACCGCTAAGTGCTCCTCGGTGACGAGTAATAACAAATTCTTCCGTCCGTAGTTACGGCGTAACGCCGGTATGAACGGTACGTGAGAAATTCATAGCGTACGGAAATCTTGTAGCGTTTAAAGCGGTATACCGCCCAGCCCTAGTGTGCAGCTCATGTGTTTGGTCCCCTCGGTGGACTTTGCCCGTGTCCCTGTGTCCCCATGTCCCGTGTCCTGGCTTGCACTGCTCTCTCTTCTTGTTTTCCTTTCCACTGTCTTTTCCTTCACTTCCCTCCGGTCTCTTGCTCTCAGGCTTTCTTCTACCCTCCATGTGTTGTTGGCACTGCTTTTCGAATAGGCCTTTGCCTACGGGGGTCGGGGGGGTGGGGGGTTTGGAGGAGAGCCAGGACGCCATGTGCCTCTCTCCACTTAACCTGCTACGCCTTCTGCTGCTCCTCCACTCATTTTAATCCCCCTTTTTCTTCCACAGCCGCATTCATGCAGTCGTGTCGTTCTTCACTTCTCCCCCTCCTCACTCTTCTGCATCTCTTCGACCGGTGTGGGCGACCTTATAAAACGCGTCTATTTTAGTCATCGAATGACTACACTGCCACGATACCTTTTTGCCTAATTATGTAGGCTACAAAATTAAAGGTGGGAATGGATTTGGAAAACACATGTTTTTCCTTTCGGTAATTAAAGGATCTATTTAAACCTTTTTCTTCTAGCAATTAGAACAAGCAACCTGCCGTGCACACTGCTTAACACTAATAATGTGACCCAAAAACTGTGTGGATCCAGATGAAATCACTAATGTGTTGTGCCGTTGAGAAGTTGATATGTTTCCGATATCTGTTACAAAAGAGTTCAAATGTGGTGTGACGTAAGCGTTGGTTCTAACCGAGCTGCCCGGCAGTGCGTTTACTGGTTCTTCTTTCACTTCTGCAGCTCTTTCTTTTTGTCAAACTCTTTTAGCGTATTTCTCTTTCTTCAACCGTAAAAAGAAAATCACAAGCAGAATGCTTTTAGAAAGCTTGGATACGAGACAAAATAGGAAGCAGTTTCTAGAAAAAACCCAAAGTGCTCAGGAAGTGCTCATGGAAGAACAAATGTGAGTGGTTAAAAAAAAAAAAAAAAGCTCTGGTGCAGGTGGACACTCATGCAGAAACATACTAAGGGAATATAGATATCTAAGTGACTTGTGTCGATCCAATCCAAATCGTGAATACATTGACCGCGAGTCGAGAGGCCGAGCTTGCAGATCCTCCACTGGCCTTCCACTGGCCATCGAGATGCCCCCTTAAATATACGAAGAAAGCTCAGCTTCACGATTAAAAGAAAGCAGCAGTGGTCGGGGGTTGGCCGTCGATGTGGGACTACTTCAATTACACTCAGGACATTTTTCAAAACCTTGTTATTTCCTGCTTTGGCGCAGAATGAAAATGGGTAAATAATGTGAATGATTTATAGGTGATCTCTGGAGGACCTTGTTTTCATGTGTTGTGGTAAAACAGACACATCGATCAGGGCCGCTGTGGGACATCTCAAAGTAGGAATTGTAGAACTTTAACTCATCTCTTATGTTTCCAATGTGGGACAAACGCTGACTTTGAGTGCGGTTCCTCAACTTGCCTGAGGCTGTTTGTTTCCCTTTTCTACAACTGTTGAGTGAAAGAAATATCGTTTGTTACTAACTAGGTGTTTCTCCTCGGTGGATACAACCGGGGGAATTTTTCAACCAAGTTGTTGTTTGGTCCTAAACAAAGCTTAGTTAGTTTGAATTAGTTTTCTTCCAACTTGAACTCAGCGTCATTCATCCTCCCTGTTATTGGCCGAGGCGCCGTCTGACCTGCGATGCAATGGGCTCCGGGGATCTTTATCGGCCTGTGTTGCCGTGAATGATGTTTGAACAAAGAAGTGACCTCTGCACTCTGCGTTCACAGTCGGCTCCAAACGGAATGGAATCCTGGGAGGAAATGGGCGCTCGGCTGACCCGAGCTTCACCTTTGTCTTTGCGCTCGGACTGTAAATAACCAGCCTGCCGCTCTCTCAGTTTTCACAGCAAACATAAGCAACCAAACCATTCAACACACCGATATGTGGCTGCAAATGCCGGGTAGGTTGACACTACAGCTGAAATGCTTGCTAACAAAGCTTTTGTTATTTTTCCTTACAGTCCAGTGGCTGCAAAACCAAATGCATGTTCCATGACAGCATCTGATGGTGTTCCTGGCAAAGCTCTTCTCTCTGCTCTTAATTGATTTCATGGGGCCATTTATGCTTCTCTTGCCTTACGAAACACCTGCGAAATCGGTTTAAGCGTTCGCCTGGCATAGTGACAATATGTGGTAGAATGTAGCAGAATGCTCTCTGTGGGGGGGGGCAGATGCAGATGCTGTGAAGAGCCTGAATTCAGACGCTTTAAAACACCCAGCCATGGACTCAGTAACACGTTTCCTTGATAGCGAGCTGATACTTTCAGTATTCAAATATACTTCTATTTCACTACGGTTCAGAGAAACCTACTAGATGTCTCTCACAGCAACATTTACTCTGTGTAAAACATTGACAATGTGCTATTTGTTCATCTGGGTGCACACAGCAGTTTTATAAATAAATGTGACAATACGACACAGGCCTGAACGCTTACAAAATGTTGACAAAAATTCTTACGTTTAAAAATATCCCGCAGACTATTCCGGAAGAACTAAATCTAAACATGCAGCACGTTGGTTCAGGACACATGAAATGAAGTTGCAGTCAATAACAAGAGCTCTGGGAAGTGTCTGTTTATTTGGGTTTGTTTGGGTTGTAACATACACCAATAATCTAATCTAAGATTAGATTTAATCCAAGTTTAGCACACCTGGATTTAAAACAAGTAAATCCAGATTTTATTTTATTAATGGAAAATCCAATCCACAAAAAGTTTTAACCGAAACTACCTTGAGTTTAATGGAAATGGAGCTGAATCAATGAATAAATCTGGGGGCTGTCGGAGCCTCGGCAGAGAAGCTCTAATCACTCCTCCTTTGAGGAAACCTCGTTGGCCGAGTAATTGGAGCAATAAGACCAAATAATAGAAGATAAAAAAGTATGGTTTCGCAGTAAGGAAAAGGGTAATCCGCAGCGTGCCTGCAGCACCTGAGTCTTCAGTGGAAATCAGATGCAGCCTCGTGGAACTCAATTGGTCAGAGTCTGTACCTTCACCATTTCCACAAGATCGATATGTTGCTCAATCCATCTCAAAAAGGCAGCACTCGCAAAGGTCAGACCTCCTCAAGTGTAAGTTAAATGTTGATACTACATGATAATGCTACTATTAATGCCTTTTTCTTCATTTTCAGCTTGGTGCATTATGATGCAACGTTAAACCACGATGTATCCGGCTTTTAATCACTGTTGATGCAACCGAGCCAACGAGGGGGGATAAACAGCACATCGCATTGCCAACGAATCCAATAACAAGTATTGTGTCTGCATCTAGAGACATGTCTCATTCCACTTAGACACCGAGATACATTGTTGTCCTAAAAGGATTAAAAACACAAGTGACTCATAACGTTGTCGTTCCTTCATTCCCAAAATCACACAGCCGCTGAGGATTATTTCCCCTCGGCGCCACATACACAGTTCCGCTACCAGAAATACTCACTTGTGCATTGAAGATGAAAAGTGTTCGCTAAAATAGCCGTGTGCAGTTTCCTCCCGTTTGAACACTACGGCCAGCTGAGAGACAAATATTGTATCATGCTTCGAGTTTAGGTCCCCAGCAGGAGGTCTACTTGTCGTGACTCCGTTCCACCACTGGAGGAGCACTGAGAACTCGAACAGACGTACAGCATGGCAACAAACACACACGTCCCACACCGTGCATGCACGGCTTATAGACGGAAACACACACTCACCTCAGTGTATGAGTGTGCTGATTCGGAGGTTCCGACCGGGTCCGGGGGGGGTTCTCTAATCACCTGAGATGAGGGGGTAGAAAGATACGGTCAGCGGCATGTGAAGGATGGGCCACCTCTAAGCTGATCAGCGCTCGCCAGGCCCGCGCTGTTATTTCCCAAGTTCCTCCAATTAGGGAGCGCTGATGTGGGATCAGCGCGCGGATCTCCACCAGTCATCGCTTTCGCTGCAGAGAGGGAAGGCAGAACCGGGGAGTAACCGAAGGGACCGGATCAGCTGAGCTCCTAAAGAATCCGTCTGAAATGCAACTTTGGTAATGCCTTGGAAATTACAATATAACTCTTAATCATATCCCGTTAGTCCTGAATGTGTTAATAACAGTAGATAAAGATAAATACTGCCGCAGACCAGAGTGTAGCAAAAAATGGGAGCTGGAGGACGCTAAGAGCCAAAACAAGAATGGATCTTTATCATCTCACTGCTGATTCATAAGCACAGCACAAACTTGCAGTGACGCATTCAGAGCACAACCACAGTGGTTTGCAGCGGGTGAGGCACAAATTGTGCGTTTGAAGCGTAGCGACGGCACTACAGTGACGCTGAAGTAGGATGAAGGGTCAGTGAAGCTGAGAGTTGCATTTTCCAATCAGCAAAGCCAGTGTCAGTGTTCAGGGCTGTTGTTGACACCAGTGACACCCCTGGGCCGAGTGTTTAATGATTTCCCTCTGGGTTGGGGAATAGAAACACTGCCGGAGGAATCAGACGCTCAATGGCCACGCAACAAATGGAGCTCCTAAAATGTGGCCGAATCAGCAGCTTTTGCTTAACGGCGACTCGTGAAAGCGCTTTGACTCTTATGGAGGGTGAAAAGCGGAGAAATGCGCTGTGTGTATTTGCATACGCGATGGGTGTCTTGAAGCAGACAAGCAAACCAATTGTTTTCCCATCCCACCACTCACACCCCCAGCGGCTGTCACGTGCATCACCGCCTGACCAACCTGACCACATGCTCCGTTTCCGTATGGAAAAATGCTTTCTTACAGTATATGAAAGTTAACAGGATCTAGAGGTTCATAGTGGATCAAGCTTCCCCACGAGTTTGGAGGGAGAATAAACTCAGTCTTTCACTATCATTTCAGCTTTGTGAGCCAATTCTCGCAACAGTCATGCAAACTATGCACTCATTTTAAACTTCCTTTGAATTCCCAAGGGGGCGACCTACTTCTTTGGTTCACTTTCTCTTTTGGGTTAAGAAAAGGACACATGACCACTGCACCCATATGTGATTGCTGAACATGGCAAAACTCTCAAATGTTGGGGCCTGGAAATGGTCAGAGAGGATTATTGCGATACACAATAACCCTGATTTGGAAGCTCGGATACTTTTGGTCATCACGTGTGAGGGAACTACATAGGCACATATCACTACACTACCTGGCCGTTACAGAGAGGGTTCGTTGCACTTGTATTCCAATAGGAATAAAACCCCAAAGCAAAGCCAAATATGACCACATTTCATCATTTTCCAGTGTGTCATCAGAAACGATGCCACCCACCATCCAAAGACAGATGGGGAGCTTTTAGCAAGCTGCGCTAGATATCCAAAGCAATCTGACAAAAATTAAAAACAGTTTCCGCATTACTGGTTTGAATACTCAGTGTGTGATTCGCAGCGCTTTACGCCTTCCGGCTCGTGGTGGCAATGCAAAACACAGTGAAGTATCTTCTTTGTGGGTACCCTCCACTGGTTCATTTACAGGGAGAACCAATTAGCAAAATGTTAATTCAACCTTGGGTGACAGGGAGGCATACGGTAACTGCGAGTGACAAAACAACACTTATAATCTCTGACTGATGGCAGAAAAGTTTCCTCACTCACTTAAAGTAATTAAATACAGATCCTGACGATGATGGCTTTAAAACAGGAACCTTCTCATGGTTATGATTTGTGCTGTTACCCTTTGAACTGTCATGCAGCGCCGCGTGGCTGCTGTGCAGGCGACCACAGGCGTGTTGTATCCTAGAGGCCTTAGTCAGCCCTCAAGCCTTTTTTTGAATCGTTTCTAGGAAAGTAAACGAATGAAACCAGTGAGAGCAGAAAGAGACGCGATATAAATGAGCAAGAGATGTCTGGAATGAATTTATGAATGCGTTTCTTGGAAATCTTTATTGGATTTTTGAGTAATCTAATACATGCATATCAGTTTAGGTGAGAAACGATGAACCCCTCGGGTTGATATAATATCCTGAGAATGCAGAGATATCCATCCTTACGATGCTTTATATTCTATTTTCACCACGAAAAGTTGGAATGGGGGAAAGAAACGGCCGATGCAATTTTGAACTTGCAAACCAGGACATTAGTTATTATACATAGAGAGTGAACCTGTATTCCGACCTTCTCACTGCTGAATATTGTAGCTGTTCAGTGTGCAGATCCCTTGGTAATTACCAACATTCATGCTGCAATGTGGCTGTTAGCGACCTGCTACTAAAGTACACAAACGTCACACAACCACAGAAGCATCGACACGGCTCCCACGCTTTGCTGCAGACATTTGTCTAACACAGACACCGTTACGTTGATTTAAGACAATTCCAGCGTCAAAAGTAGTCTTCAACCTGAACATTTTTGGAAGCTATTTTTTTGTCATGTTTCGCCCAAATAATTAAAAACAATTCCACCAGATAACAGCAATGACAAACACTTACTTTTTGACCTGAGTGTTCTTTTTCCTCTGGTGTCCAGAGAAAGTTTGTTTACAATCGTAGATTAACAATTCAGCTAAAATTACATATAAAAACAACAAAGTTTGAGTTATGTTAATGAAGTTGGTTGCAGCAGTTTTTGCAAAAAAACTCCACGTCCTGACAGACAAACAGTTATAAAAATAACAGCAACCCAACCGGTAAACCCAACGCGTAGAAAGAGAAAGCGTCTCCAGCGGGAGACTCTGCATCTGCAGCTAAATGAGAGAGGACGGTTTAACCGAAGAAAAATCAGAGGCAGAAGCCCGACTCTTTGGGGATAACGAGGGCTTCAATTTCCCAGTCAGCCTGCAGAAGCAGCGGCTGACGGCGCACGGGGCTCAGAAGGAAATCTGAACAGTGCAAACATCCCGCGAGCACGGGTGAGAAATGAGCTGCTGCAAAGCAATCAAGCTGCACAGAAACAACACGCTCTGAGCATCCCAAGAGGACCGGGGGAGGACATGTCCACGGGACACACATGGAAGGACACCTGGTGCAAGGGACGGGGAGATTTGCCCTCGCAGATTGAGACTTCTTTTCTCTCTGGCAGAGAAGAATCAAAACTCGATTGATACTGTTGCACGGCTCACAAACTCAGCCTCAGCATCAAAAGATATTTAGTTTTCATGTTGACGGAATTTAGTAATTACTGAACGAGGCATAAACTAATGAATACCGGGTGAAATAAAATATGCTTGGTTACACAACACACTGTTCCAAATGTTTATGGCAGCCGAAAGATCAACTTCAAATGGAAAGAGAAAAGTGAGACCGGAAGGTACGGTAAATAAAGGGGCGAGAGGCAAGACAGCAGATTTGGAAGGGGCGGAAAGGAAAGGAGAGAAGGAAATGAAAATGGTAAGGAAAAATAGGAAACACAGTTTGTGGTTGTCTGAATGAGGCATGCAAAAAAAAGTGATTAGAAGTTCCCCGTCTGCAGCGCCTACCTGCTTCATTAGTCCATTACCTGCATGATACACAATTGGAACTCACTTTCCTTTTTTTCTGTTGCCTGCATGTGTGACCGCATTATGTGACATTATGTCTGCAGATAAAATCTCCACCAGTACGACACTAAAGTAGTGAAAGTGACTGATTCCTACAACATGTCCCCTGGAGTGTGTGTCACCACAGGGACACACGCTACATGTGTGTGATCTTGTAAATCCGCCAGCGCAGCTCCTCTGTGAGAATAATAAACCTTCCAGGTCCTTCAGTTCTCACAGCTCTGATGACTTATTACCAGCTGTATCAAAGATGAACACTGCGCTATGGCTCCGCTGAGAGGAGCCCTGGGTGGGTTTATGACCACACCATGTGTGCTTGTGTGTAGCTGAGCCTTCCTATGCACATGCAGATTAAATTAAAGACAAATACTGACAAACTCTCAGATCTCAAGACTGACATTTCAATTCTCCGTGACACCAATGTCAGGCTCTGTTTTGAACTGGATGTCCTTAAAGTTATTTCTGGAATCCAACAGGGTTCAACCCTCGGCCTACTACTTTTTAGTCTATACATTATCGCCATTAGTAATACCATAAAGAATTATAACATATCCTAACAGATGACAAACTGATTCTGAGACACTAGTCAAGGATGTCATTTCATTAGACTTTTTTTTACTATATTACCAAAACACTTAATTGGAAAACGTCCCACGCATGGTGAACTTAGTCATCAGAGTTTCTACAGATAAGAGAAAGCTTAATACTATTAGCAAATCATCTGATTCAATAGATGTTCACATTTAAAGTGAAGCTCAAAATATCCCCATTGTAAAGCATTACTCTGTGTGTGTTTGAGTAAACCCTGAGCATGTGTTTGATGTATGCTGAATTTCTTGAGGTAAAAACATTTTGGGGCTGATCATACTGAACTACGATACAACAGTGTGGACTGTTGCCATGTACGTTTTTCTAATGTTCTCATTTTCTAAAGACTAAAACACCAAAATCCCTTCAGCTGCCCATTTGAGGCTTCATATTTATTCATCACACAGTCCTGAGGTTGAGTTGAGGTCAAAGTTGACAGGTTGTCCTGAGGCTGAAAGAAAGCAACATGAGCAGAATGAAAGTATTACGCTAATATGCCAATCTGAATAATAGTTTGCAACATTGAATGAAACCTTGGCCTGAATGTGATGCTCAGTTCTTCACAGATTCACAGACGCACAACTGGAGGAAATACTAAACTACTACTAAATAACATGCTGTAGATGTGCCCTGATGGGCTTCTGATGGAAGTGTGTGATCAATACCAGAAAAGATTATTCAATAAAAGTAACAACAGATGTAAAGCCGAGTAAGCA